TGAAGAATTGATTGATGAAAAAGGCAAGGCAAGGAAGAGGAAGGAGAAAGAAAGGGTGCTGCTGGGTTGAAAAGAATCCAAGGGCAAAAAATTTTTAAAAAATTTTGTTTTTTAGTAGGTTCTGTTGTTTGATGATGATGATGAAGAACTAGTAAGTGTAGAAATTGGTTGAGATGTTAGAGATTGATTGACATATTAGGGTTTGCAGAAGTTGAAGAAAGGGAAGAAGAAAGTGAGGAATGATTTTTTTTTTTTTTTTGCGTGAGATTAGTTGGAATGCCATGTCATCTATTTTTACCAACTTGTTAATTTTTGTGTGACATGTAATGTTTCTGTTGTCTTTGTTCGTCAATTAACGTGAAAACTTAATGGAAGGATCAAATTTGGGTAAAAATAGTAAACAGCAGGGACCAAATCAAGGATTTTTAAAGTTTAAGGACCAAATCGGGGGTCTGTACAATAGTTTAGGTACCAAAATGGGATTTTACCTTTATTTTTAGTAATAGATTAATTTTTATCTAGGCAAATGCTCCATGGCTAGATCTGGCAATTTTTTACCCAGCCCGTTAACTCGCCCATTACTTGCCCGTTTAAAACAGGTTAGGGTCATATATTTATGACCCGCGACCCGTTAATGACCCGTTAAGAGAACCCGACAAGTCAGGTTAACAGGTTTGACCCATTTACTCGTCTAAAAATTTAAAAATTTTTAATTTATTATTTATTTATTTTATTTTTCAATTCCCAATCCCACCTAAACCTCTAATAATTGACTAATTTTCTCTAATAAGCTAATTAATTCTCTTAACTCATCATCTTCTAAAAGTAAAAATAATCTCACTCCACTTATGACTCATCTCTTGACCTTTCCTATTCTTGCTTGCCCTATTTCCCTCTAAGACTCTAACTCTTCAAAGTTCAAACTCTTCTCATATTCTTCAACCTCCACAGTCCATATAGCCCTTGACTTTCAAGTTTCGACTCCACCTTTTCTCTTTAGTGTTTAACATTATCTCAGACTTAAATCTTCATCTCATCAAGTCACCATCACATTCACTTAGCCTTTTCTTTCTTTCTCCTTCAAGTTTGACAAGTGCTCTCTTTGTCACCAACTTTTCCCTCTAAAGCCTTATCTATGTTTTTTAGTTTTCTCTCCATTCCAAGTAAAATTCTACTTGATCTTGTCCTTTGCTTAGATGCATTCAATTGATTGATTCTTTGAAAGCAATAACTAGAACAAATATGTTCCAATGGGGTTTGTGTTTTTTGGTTGTTATGCTACT